TCCTAATTGCTCTTTTCATTCTTGATGATCTTGAAATCATCCACTCCATCTCATTTCCACTATTCCCTCCTGATGTTGAAGCCATGTTGCTACAGTCAATGTACAGTTTATGCAATCCGCCAAAATCAAATCCTACCGCCTTCGTTTGTTTGTTTGTTAGTTCACTCGCTCTCCTTCCGCCTTCCGCCCACACCAACGGCACCCTCAAACAATCCAGCCTCAGCGACGAGATGCACTCCAGCACTTCCTTATAAAGCCCAGGGAAGGTGATGAGCCAACTCATTGCAGGTGTAGATGATTAGTGTAATGCCTGATCCGAGAGGCAGGGGGTGATAACATCAAAATGCCTCATTGCCTTATATGTAGCTCGGTATTAGTGCAGCAAACAAGCTAAATTGTTGTCCTCCATCCATATTTTCAGTTACAGGCTGAGTCATTTCTACCTTCTCCTCTCTGTCAACGCTCTCTGGTTTCATTTAAAAGAGTTGATCATCAGATATTGTCCACGATTAACCTTCAGGGTGGATATAGCTCGCTAGCAGCCTTGCATCGATGACCTACCCACATCATCATTTACCCAGAATGCTTTGCATGTAAATAAAATGGCCCCGTCCGTGTAATATATTTTTAAACTTTTAGGTTTAAAACTTATAAAACTAAACATTCTACAGTATTTTTACAGTCTATTTTACAGTTAAAATATATGTTTATTAAACAAAGTCTAATGTTACAACTAATTGGGGATCCCTTTAAGAGACTTTAACAAGCATTCCAGTAGGGAGAGCTATAAGATTTGGCATTTTTTCTTTTACATTGATCGATGAGCAACCTAACCTAGTCATCCTCTCTAAATGCATCCATATCCTTTTGGTGCGTCTCTAACATCCTTCTGCCAATATGTCTCTCCTCTGGACATGTCCAAACCAGCTCAGTCTGGCCTCTTTAACTTTATCTCCCAGTGGTTCAGTCTGTGCTGCACCTCTGATGGTCTCATTCCTAATCCCATCCATCGGGCGAGGAGTTCCATCATCCAGGGGGTGCTCCGATTTGAGTCTCTGCTCCTCTGCATCAAAACGAGTCAGAGGTGGTGCATCTGATTAATAGGCCTCCTTTCACGAGTATGGAGTTTGTCTGTTGGAGTTGTTGCCTCCGCGAACCAAACACAGATGAACGGTAGGCGATGGAGATGGAGCTTGTGCGCGTCACGGAATCCATTCCGTTCAAGAGGAAAACGTGGCCTTTGCACTGACAGAGTCCAGAGCCCGACTCCTTATCTTAAGGCCAAAAGACCAACATTAATCCTGCTTCTAAATCATGCAGGTAACAAGAATTTGGTGAATTTGAACTGGCTTTAGTGCAAGTTTAAACAAATAATATCTGCATTTATACATGCAAACTTATGCGTGATGCAGTCCAGAAACAAATGCTTGAAATGTTTCTCTTCTTTGGCCAATAGTTTGCATCATTTTCTGAGTGAAATCTGTCCTGTAAGCAAGCCGGTGCTGAGGAGCTACTGATAAGCAGCGGATCAGTCAGACTGGAATTCAGTCCGCAGCATGATAAAAAATAAATAAATAAATGTTTAAACAGTTCAAACAAACCATCGTTCAGGTGCTGAATGTTGATACAGAATATTCTAATATAAACCTAAAACCTGGAGGTTTGCGTGTTTTTCACGCTATTATCGTTCCCATCCTCCCATCTGAAACCTGAGACCCCCACTGCCCCCCTCTTGGACATATTTTTAGTCACATTCTTGGTTTCTGTCAGTTTCTTGGACTTAAATCAACAAAAGCAACAACTGTGTTCAATCACTATGTTGTTTCACAACTTAAAAAACACGCACATGCACACAAATTACTGTCATTATAATTAAAAAAATGTACAAGTTAGAAAAACAAACAAACAACGAGTGACTCAAATAGCTTCAGAATTTGTTTTGGAAAATTATTTTTAAAAATATGGTGTGAGAAACTGTTGTAACTGCCATGTGGCGTCTCTGCAGGCGTGATGGGAATGATGACGATGGACGAGGTAGGAGACAGAGAGGTGGACTTCGCTGTGTGGGACATGAYGGATGTGGACTCTGGAGAGTTTCAGGTAAAATACAGATTCTGTGATTTAAAAAAAAACAACAAAGTGAGTGAAAACCTTAACTCCTTTCAGCTCAAGTTGGAGCTGTTGATGCACTATTTGGTGACTCGGGTGAAAATAGATAAATACTGTATCCGTATGGAACAAGATTCACCAAAATCAAAGTTTTGGAACTCATATTGGGCATCAAATGTAAAGAAAAATGTTTAAAAATGTCACCAACACATTGTTTAGCACACTTCCTGAGTGTAAAATCCTAGTTCAAAAAAAATTCCATCTTTATATGACATCATCCTGAGAAAAAGCAAACGCCAACGCTGCTCACGTTATAAACACTGCCGAAAAGAGCTTTTAAATTTCAAATTCAAAGTAGGTTAATTGAAAACAATACGGTGCCTGTCAGTGGTGGGCAGCACTCATCTAAAAATGAGTTTCACTAGCCCTAAAACACTAACTCAAATATTTAGGTCCCCTGATTCGAAAGCACTAACACACTGAAAAAATTTAGCAAAAGCTAAATCTAAAGCACTAAAATAACCCAGTCAACCCTTGAACATTCTTCAACAGACAACACGAGTCACATATCGCCATGTTGCTCTCTTAAAGGCACAGTGTGTAGGATTTTGTCAATTCTTTCAGCTGAAATTGAGATAATCACTAATGACAATAATAAAAAACATGTCTAATCATTGCAGACAAAGACCTTGTTTTATTATTTTTACCTTATAAAAAGCTGTTTATATCTCCATGGTCGCGGGTCGCCACACAGGTAGCCGCCACCTTGCACCACCATCATCCACAAAGGCTCATGAAGGACAAACTGCGGCAGCAGCGGCGTCAAAAACAGTTTTAGTTGTAATACTATAAATGTAATATTTGTTGTCTGTCTGCTAC